CTTGTGAAATAAATAAAAATGATCTGAAATTTACAGTGAAGCAAAGATTGCATGTTCAGTTGATACAGAAACAATTCAACGATATCGATACACCATCAAGAGGAGAGACAAGCTTTAAAGTGAAGTTTCAAATAGAAGCTTATCTTTGTAATTAAATACTATACAAAAACTTAATTGCTAAATTTTGTACAAGTAACTTACATTTGCCCACGGGAACTGAAGGATGGGCTGGTGTTAAGATAGAATCTTTATTTCGTGCTTACAAGGTATTGGCAATAGATACCACTATTTTGTTACTGGCAAACATGAATCAATAAGGCAATTTGGAAATTTATATATACCTTAATATTACTGTGCTTATCCAAATATATCTCAGATAAAAAGATTTTGCTTTGCATACGGTATGGCCGGTTTTCGTGAGGATGATATTTTCGCTTTTCGCGGTACATCGACATGACCGCAAAATATAATTCATGAAATTCATGTGATTCTAAGTGTGATGTCAGGTATCATAATTACTGGCAAAATCATCGACCAGGATAAGCACAATGAACGTTTTGACACACCTGATTGGTCAGTGGAATATTTTTCAACAGTTCAACCCTGATAGTTATCGTCCTCAAATGGTGATTGTAAATGAAGTCAAGTGCCTCGACACGTCACGAAAGGATCAATAATGTGACTAAGAAAAGTCACCGAGTTCCTTCGACGTCACGAATACCGGGTAAAATAAAAATGAAAAAATATGCACAAACACAGCACGGGACTTTCACTAGCTTTATAAAGTTGTATAGTTAGAATAGGGATAACATTAAGGTGTTTTTACGTTATCCCCTTGGTCCCTTAGTTCATATTTCTGAAGGTCAGTGGGGTTACTCAGATTATTATTGATTTTCTGTTATAGATTACCAGAAAGGTTTTTTGAATAAATTCGATTGGAATCTAACGTTATCTAACCGACCACTGTTTGAACCTGCAACAAAAGCATGCCTATTTAAACTTATCAATATAACGAAAAATGGCAAACTGCTCAACTAACTCTACAGAGGTTGATATTCTGCCAGATTGGTCGTTGTTTCCGCGGTCGTTACATTGTTACGTTCTCTCAAACGACGAATATCGATACGTTTTGACAATAACTTGATAAGCTTGAATCCGAAGTTAAGACGTGTTTGTTCTTACTCTATACCTCATTGACGCAATCCATAGTCATCAAAAAAATATAGGAGTACCATGATGTACAGAAAGGATAAAAAATTAAAATGTCCTGGGATTATAATGGGCTGTATACAGTACTGAAATATCACGGACTAACATATTTCTTGTAAAGATAAACTCCAAATGACCGGTCATCTCTATCTTTTTCAACAATTGATATCTTGGTTTCTTTATTGACAGGTTTTGAATATGATATAGTCATCTTCAGAAAAAAAATCATATCATATATTAACCGTGATGGTACTTGTACTAAAACGGAACGACGGTTACTACCGGGTATATTTCAATGAGACAAAGATATGACGGGTACTTTCGGGGTTTAATTAATGAGACAAAGATATGACGAGTAATGTCCGGGTTAAGTTTAATGAGACAAAGATATGACGGGTATTGTCCGGGTTAAGTTTAATGAGACAAAGATATGACGAGTACTGTCCGGGTTAAGTTTAATGAGACAAAGATATGACGAGTACTGTCCGGGTTAAGTTTAATGAGACAAAGATATGACGAGTACTGTCCGGGTTAAGTTTAATGAGACAAAGATATGACGAGTACTGTCCGGGTTAAGTTTAATGACGGGTACTGTTGGGTATAAGTTTAATGAGACAAAGATATGACGAGTACTGTCCGGGTTAAGTTTAATGAGACAAATATATGACGGGTATTGTCCGGGTTAAGTTTAATGAGACAAAGATATGACGAGTACTGTCCGGGTTAAGTTTAATGAGACAAATATATGACGGGTATTGTCCGGGTTAAGTTTAATGAGACAAATATATGACGAGTACTGTCCGGGTTAAGTTTAATGAGACAAAGATATGACGAGTACTGTCCGGGTTAAGTTTAATGAGACAAATATATGACGGGTATTGTCCGGGTTAAGTTTAATGAGACAAAGATATGACGAGTACTGTCCGGGTTAAGTTTAATGAGACAAATATATGACGGGTATTGTCCGGGTTAAGTTTAATGAGACAAAGATATGACGGGTACTGTCGGGTTAAGTTTAATGAGACAAAGATATGACGGGTATTATTTGTATATAACTAACACAAAAAGCTATTAGTAAAACCGATGTATAGTTATGAGATAGGACAAATATTTTATGTATATAAATATTATAATTATATAAAAAAGACAAGACTGGTTTTATCGGTGAATAGACAGTATGAAGGGTACTATTTGTTTGTAATCATATAAAACAAAAACATTACAGGTAGTGTTGTTATATATCACATCATAAATATCAGAATACGACATTTGTAGGACAAAATTATAACATGCCCAATCTTTTTAAATATCTCCTTTCGTGAATTTTATGACAGAAAACATAAAATTATACAAGTGATGTGTGATAACATCTTGACAATGTCTCAAAACTATGACCGGTTATAACGTAAGTACGAGAAGAGCAAGGTGTATTCGGACAAAAGGGATAACAGCTTGTACCCAAACCTGTAACATGATCCCTGAATGGCATGTTGATAACAAGTAAGACATGTGTGGATTACAAGTCAAGTTGGGGCCTATACTACCATGTGGTGTTAGCACGAAGGCCACGTGTAGAGCACACGCCAGGTCGGAGCGCATACCTACCACGTGGTGTAACGTTAAAAATAGCCATGGATACCGAGCAGAGCCTGCTCCCACTTGTAAGTCTGCATACATCACAATAGAGAGTGGAACTGTCCGTTATGATATACATACAGAATGTCAATGACAGAAAAAAAAGTTTTATGTATACCAAAGCTGACGCCAGACATCAGTTAAACCGTGGTTGTATCGATTTTTCAAAACGTATTTCAAGAACATTAAACGAAACGCTATTACACCACTAATGTTGTATGGAGTATATGTATTAGGGATAAAAATCTTGGTACATTTATCTATGAATTGACTCCAATACCCAGTGACCCGGTGATGTAGAGACATCTGGTATGGGTTACCCTAATGATTGGTTAAACGGTAAACGATCAAGCTGATGCCTCTGTACTTTCTACAAAGACAGTACCGTGTGGTTTTTGTACGCCGAATAATGGCTACTTCTTTGAACAGGCTGAACAGCATCCTAGTTTAAACATTGGAGATCTGCTTCTCGTCAGATCTAATTTACTCAAACTGTTATCAACATGTCACGTGGGAGATATTGAGTCAAACTAGTACACATTCTTCTTTTTTTCTATGTAAAGCTCGGGTTTTGATAGTTTTAGCTGTTTATGTCTGATTTGTAGAATCCATCACAGGTTGATTTGCCGTACACTGTACACAGGTCAGAGCTAGGAAACCAGATGTAAACAAGGCAGTATGCGTTCGATTTACTGGCATCCTGACCTTTAATGTTCAGGGTCAAAACTAAGAAACCAGATGCCCTCGCCTTGCTTTACTTAAACATATATCAAAGTTGTAATATATGTTAAACATTCGCTTTCAACATACACTGGCATGTTTTAGTAAAAAGCATTGCTGATTCTTTGCCAAAATCTGTATTTTCATTGTTTTTGTAAATTAGTTATTCAAAGATTTGTATCAGACATGTTTCTCAAAGTCACCTCAATGACAAAGTATTATATACTCTTATATCAATACATCATGGAGCAAATATACACATCCAATTAGAGTTTTTTTTTCTGTTTAACCCTTTAGGTTTTGGTTGAACGCTGAAATCCTTTCTGCAGATGTAAACACGAGCGAAACTCACTATCTTCATGTGCGGTGCCCGTTCGTCTACTCGCCTTCCAACGCCACTAAGTAAAATGTGTTTTAATAATTATACTACAACCAGCGAGAGGCAGCATGATGATCTCGCGTTTAATAGAGGAAGAGAAAGTTCCTCACTCACATGGCAAAACAGACAATTTCTAGTGACTTTTCTATTAGATGGTGTCCGGAGTGCGAGACAGCCAGGTGTCGCCGATAAAACAATTTTTCCTAATGTGTAGGTAACTGTTATTTTCAGTACTTGCATTGCTCCAGGACTAAAGGCAAAACAGTCATGAATCCATTAACAGAACAAAATACGTCATTTTATATCAGAGCTACATCTGTTAAACAGAATTATCCAAAATATTGGAATATTGACAAAAAATCGTTTAGAGTTTGTTTTAAAATGAAGCCAGACAATTAACACCATACAATCAGAGCGTTATTTACATATAATTGAAAAATCATATATATAGCAACGTGTCCAATATGTATATGAACAGATAACATGTACGACTGGGTATTGTTTGATCTCTAGTGATAACAATCATGTAAATCGTGAACGGGTAGACACAGTCGTGACAGATGGATACAGCCAACACGGTACGAGACGTAAAAAGGATGCCGTGTTCACGAGAATTGATCATTTGTACGTACTGTCATTACAGTAATATTACTAATACTGGGACAAGGATCCCGGTACAGGAAATCCCACATTATGTTATGACAGTGCAATAAATACCAGAAAACTTATCGTCTTTACGACCAGAGAACCATTGATTTTCTTATATTGCACGAGAAGACCTGCCTCCGCTTATGTATCGACAAGAATACATCATTTGCTGTTTTTGGTATAGTGGCACCCTATCATTAAGTATGTCTCATCAACGCTAGTCAGCTTCATCAACATCATTACCCAACCTAGCTTCATCAGCAAACACCCATTCGCGCATGGAAGCTACATCGGTATTTACACTGAAGCGAACAGGATACCAACACGAGTAAATCATATACAAACATTGAGGTCTATCTGCAAACAAAAATACTGTCTCACACACACACACACAGGAAAGTTATCTTACCTCACGTGGAAAATCACGCCGGGAGTCTTGATATCGTAATCCAAACTACTACTTACAATAAGTTAACATAAAGTTTTACAAGTAAAATATCCCTCAGAGAAAGCAGGTACATTCCCCTTCACCGTCTACGTCACAAATTAGGGAAGTATACACACGCGAACTATCTCTAGCTATGTAATCCCTCTGCTCGGCACGGTGTAGGATATAGACTAGAGTTGCTAGTAGTCGTAGTTGCCTTGCCGGTTTGCCAAAGATTTTTCTCCATCTGCAGTGAGTATAGCGAATGCCATATCCCTGTGATATCGTGTTACAAACAAATGAACGCTAGTCTTCGTGTTAGCGTCCCAATTAGCCATAGAGCAAGAGTATTTATTCTGGTAATTGTAATGTCATCGTTGGAAACAATACTTCATGCATAAGGTTACTGCGGACTTGTGTAACCAGTACCCCTCCACACCAAAGGAATCGTATCGGCACTGGACGGACACTGCGAGGTCAAAGAAAACAATACACGAAGTCTATAGAAAACGAAAATAAGCACCCCAAATTATCCTGAAAACAAGTGTCTGCGAACGGTAATGGAGACAAATGTTTTGGTGGTCAAAAAAATATCAGTCAATCTGAGAGTGGCCTGAAAACCAAAGCGTGAGCCGAGGTTAGATCGATACGCCCTTACATGTGTGCTACGATTAATGTTTGATGTAGAATAATGCCTGGTACTTAGGGTAGAGAGTTAGTTAATAGTTCAATCATGATATCACAGATGCACTGTTTTACCATTTCGATCCAATATATCTATGGCTCAGACAATTCAGGAGATCTGTCTTTTAACAGTATTAGCATTTAATTTTCCCCATAAAATAACAATTTATCTTTATACCAAAGAGAACTTGCACCTGCCGGTACTTAATTAATTTACCATCGATAACTTTGACTTGTCTTTTTCAACTCTCATCCATCCTCCATACTGTTATGTACTTTTTAACTGTAAAAAATAACGATATCTGTTTTAATATAAGCAGACAATTACACGTATGTATATAATATCATCTGCAATCCGAATTAAATAATGCAACGAAAGGTTATTTGTAAAGACGCATGTTGTTATCAATTTATAGAACTATTTTTTTCATGTATTCACAAAATATTTAAATAGAAAATGGCACTTGAAAGTCATTAATACCGAGTTTGAATGATTCATATTTCTGATGTTACAGTACTTACAATTACAACAGAGATACCATTTACACCTCATAGTCACTGAAATGGTTGTGGAAGGTTTAGACTAATATATATGATGCACGTGCCTTAAATACATTCTACGCACAATTTAAATACGTGCTTGTTTACAAGTGAAAAATATCACATTATCACTTATATGAATCATAATTGCAGAACATTATCAGTCCATGTATAGCATCGACATTTTAAATGTTGATAATCATTATGCAAATAGATGCCATCAATTTAGATTTATTCCGGAGTGAATAGGCGTTTTATATTTATCTAATACTGTGTTGTTTCCAAATATTTTATAGTCTAATGTATATAATGAGAATAGGAGTTGATTGTTTATTGTTTTAATATGTGTCATTATTTCTGAATTAAATTGGAATTGTCTGTGTACTCTGGGACATGATAAGGCGTTTCTTCTGCTGACCTTTTTCTGTACGTTAATTTAAGTACAATAATTACCCTGTGTTTTGTTTGACTCTGGAGGACTAGACTGAACTTTGGCAATAAATTTGCTGCTAACTATGAGCAGTAAAGGTCAGAGCTAAACAAGTTCGTACATTTCACTGTTCGAAGTTAGCGGAAGTGAGTCAATTAGATATTTTCATTTGGTTAAGACGTAAAAGTTACCTTAAAACTACGATTATCTGGCAAGTCGACTGTACAGTGCACTTCCTATCTCGATTTTTGCCAACATTTCTGTATGAGAAAGTTCATCCTTTTCTACATGGTATATGTACACACAAGATACAACGTACAGTATATCAGAGGTGTGAACAAGGTAAAGTACATAATGTTACATACCAGGTACAGGTAATAAGAAGTCTAAACAAGTTGTGGTACATAATGTTACATACCAGGTACAGGTAATAAGAAGTCTAAACAAGTTGTGGTACATGATGTTACATACAAGGTACAGTATTTCAGGTCTGAATAAGGTGTCATACATAATGTTACACAAATAGTACAGTATATCAGAGGTCTGAACAAGTTGTGGCACGTAATGTTACATACCGGGTACAGTATATCAGAGGTCTGAACAAGTTGTGGCATGTAATGTTACATACCAGGTACAAGGTGTCATACATAATGTTACACAAATAGTACAGTATATCAGAAGTATGAACAAGTTGTGGCACGTAATGTTACGTACCAGGTACAGTATTTCAGAGGTCTGAATAAGGTGTCATACATAATGTTACACAAATAGTACAGTATATCAGAAGTATGAACAAGTTGTGGCACGTAATGTTGTGTGTGTGTGTGTGTGTGTGTGTGTGTGTGTGTGTGTGTGTGTGTGTGTGTGTGTGTGTGTGTGTGTGTGTACCTGTACAGTATTTCAGAGGTCTGAATAAGGTGTCATACATAATGTTACACAAATAGTACAGTATATCAGAAGTATGAACAAGTTGTGGCACGTAATGTTACGTACCAGGTACAGTATTTCAGAGGTCTGAATAAGGTGTCATACATAATGTTACATACCAGGTACAGTATTTCAGAGGTCTGAACAAGTTGTGGTACATAATTGTGTGTGTGTGTGTGTGTGTGTGTGTGTGTGTGTGTGTGTGTGTGTGTGTGTGTGTGTGTGTGTGTGTGTGTGTGTGTATCCTGTGTTATGTACATGATGTTACATACAAGGTACAGTTTCTCAGAGGTCTGAATAAGGTGTAATAGATAATTTCAGAGGACTGAACAAGTTGTGGTACATACTGTTACATACCAGATACAGTATTTCAGAGGTCTGAATAAGGTGTAGTACATAATGTTACATACAAGGTACAGTTTTTCAGAGGTCTGAACAAGTTGTGGTACATAATGTTACTTACCAGGTCTGAACAAGTTGTGGTACATAATGTTACATACCAGACCCCACTTGTATAAAACATCTCAACTTGAGATTTCCTCAAACCCAGATTTTCCTCAGCTAACATCTCTTGAAAAAATCTTGTATGAAAATTCCTCAAGGAATTTCAGACTGACGATGACTTCCTCCTGTTCCTTGAGAAAATTGTATACAAACCGTTTTTGAGGAGATATCAGCTGAGGAAAATCTCTACTTGAGGAAATCTCAAGTTGAGATGTTTTATACAAGTGGGGCCAGGTACAGTATATCAGAAGTATGAACAAGTTGTGGTACATAATGTTACATACCAGGTACAGTATATCAGGTGTATTAACAAGTTGTGTTACATTTTGTTACACACAAATGATACAGTCTAACAGAAACTCTCGCCAGTGTATGGTTCATGCTCTTCCACACTTTGAATGGGGGTTTTGGCCTTTTTTGAGGTCGTGTTAATGAATTATATGAACCTAGCATAAAGTCATCGATTTTCAAAGGAACTCATAAGTAATGATGTCTACCACGAAACTTTATCGACCCTGTTGACGTCCCAATGATATTCGGTGTCTTCTTGTTGATGATGAACGCCAAATTTTATGTAAGAATGAAGTTTAGAGCCTTAAATTATGCATGTTCATATCATATGTAGGAATTTGAAGAGCAATATATATGGCAAAAGACCGTGTTTATCCTTAATATGATCCCTTTGTCCCCATTGGTATAAAACTGACGACAGCGTTTTGTCTTCTGCGTAAACAGTAATTTTGCAGGATTAAATAATAATAACTTTTTAATGACATTTATTGTGTAGCACACCATATTTAGAAGTAATTTGGTTTTGAAATATCTTCCCATTTTCGTCTTTTCAGAATTTGCATTATATTGGCGACAGTGGACTCGTGAAACTAATGTGTAACTCGTGTATTCAACATCGCACTAAATCACATATATTGGGAGTTAGGGGAGTATAGGGGAATCAGAACTTACTTCCATTTATATCATATTTGCAAAGAAATAAACGAGGTCCATGCTTGCTTCAGTCATCTCACTGACTTACATGTTTATATTAAGCTCAGACCATTATTTTGACTATATCCCTAATTCAAACTGTCGGCAGCTATTATTTGTCACTGAAAAAGAAACTACAGCTCGATAAGTTCCTGCTTTTTGGCATGTATTCACTGCATTGTTTAAAAATGAACCGAAGAAAAGACCATGTCACATTTTACACATTCTATAACTTCATTCATAATTTTGTCTACGTGCAAATCCTTTTGATACTACACTATGTCTGTAATTTCTAGATGAAATTCTTTATTGTATACACCTAATGCAAAATTTATTGTGCTCTGATTACGGCAAAACGCAATTTCAATGGATGCAGAAAGGGCGATGCGCATAAACACGGTCAAAAATGAAGGACTTGTTTGCGAACACCGCCATTCCAATTTTTTACTGAAAAATTAAGCAGGTTTGTGTTATGTTATGCTATCTTATATTATATTATGTTATGATATTGATTAATCTATTGCACTTTTTATGTATCACTGTTTGATATAATAAGGAAATAGTGATGCGCTATTTTATGGAAACCACTAATTTCATATCAAGAAAATTAGATATCGGAAGCCTATATCAGCCAGATAGACATGACTATTTCCTCAAAATACGTTCAGAATCAGAGTGTTGCATCATTTTTGAAACCGAAAATGAAATTACGTTTCTGCTGGGAGTAAACCCAGAAAGAGTAAGAGAAATGTATAGCAGTTAGACACAAGTGACTCAGACTCAAAGCAAGAACACAGCTGTACAGATATGTTATTAAGGTGAACGAATTATTAACACACAACACTTTTGATCATGTTCAGTGGTAATAAGAGCATGAATACCAGACGAGCGTCTCAGGATTCGTCGACAAAGAAAACATTGCAAATGTTTGTAAATCAATCAAATCAGGCTTTCAAAGTACATAACGAGGTAGGAACATAGTATCAAACATTTTTACATGAACACAATTGATGATGGTATCGTTCATAAAAGACTGTACAGAACATTAACATACTTTGATACAAATTCAGAATTAGATACATTTGTGGCAAATGACTGTATCATGCTGACGTTGTGTCCTTTTACCACTCACCAGTGGTATCGAGGGCTTGAATTTTAAAACCTTGAAGGCAACTGAGGAAAACTAAAATGCTCGAAAGAAATGTCGCAATATGGAGGTGCATGAGCCACAATTGAACATGCGTGTCTCATAAAACCCGCAGTTTCTATTGAATGAAAGCCAAAACAACAAGAAAATACCAACATGTGAACG